CCTGACATATATGGAGCGGAAGGTGGGCTGGATGCAGAGGAGCCAAGTCAAAAAGATTAGTGAAGAGCCACTTAAAATATAGGAGTACCATTTTTACTTCATGTACCTTTATTTATAGTTTTGTCCACTTTTAAAATTATGTCAAGCTGTTCAGCAAAAAGGGACAGTGACATGGATTGTAATAAACGATAACAGCCAGGGGTGCTCACAATGGTTGCCATTTATTTAATTAGTTATTTTAATAGCTCACACCCCCTTAAAGTTTGTCTAAACCCAAGAATAAAAAAGTAATACATTGCAGCTTACAGGCCTTAGAGGTGGTGGCTTTACTTTACTTTTTCTTTTTTGGGCTAAGTACATTTTTGTTTGTGTCAAGCATACCTGTTGATCTTGCCAGAATTTCACTGTCCCTGTCAGGGGCGGACTGACAACTCATGGGGCCCCTGGGCAATAGGGGATCATGGGGCCCCTGTGTCCTTGCCCAAACTCAAAAAAGCCTATGAAAAAGGTACCAGGCAGGGGTGGACTGACAACTCATGGGCCCCCCTGGGCAATAAGGGATCATGGGGCCCCTGTGTCCTTGCCCAAACTCAAAAAAGCCTATGAAAAGGTACCAGGGGCATCTCATGGGGCCCCCTACTGACCCCAGGCCCTCGGGCAGCGCCCGAGTTTTCAAATGGTCAGTCCCTATTCACTGCACTGATATCTCAGTAATGTTTCCACTATAAATTACAAGACACCTCCCCAATATAATGGAGAAAAAAGATAGGTGGAAGGGTAGGTGGAGCGCAGCCTTGGGTAAGAATGCTACTCCTCCATAGAAAAGTCACCCTAGGACAGGAAGTCTTTTACTGGCAGGATCGCCAGACAAAAAAAAGGAAAAAAGCCTGAAGAAAAAAAACCCAATTAAAACATATAGAATTTTGTTTCTTGGGGTTTAGAAACACTTCAAAATTTTCACAATGTGTCCCAACCCCCATCACAGTCTCTTTTGCTGGACAGCTTGGCATCATTGTAAATGTAAAGAAATATAAAAATAAAGGGTAAGATATTACAAAATAAAAAAAAAGCAATTTTAATACTGAGATAATATCATTTCAAGTAAAAACCCCATACAGTTAACCAATATTTTCTACAGTAAACATTTCACACATGTGCAGTGTGTCATTAATATTTACAGTATTTTTGTTGGGTGCAATGTTGCAGTTTTCTTCTCTTCTGTATATAGCCCAGTGCTGTTTCTTTCTCAGTGGTTATACACAACCAGTGATTATGATTCCCCTAGTTTTGTCCAAATTGTATTGCAAGTAGTTATTCTCTGGAGCCAGCTGTGTAATGACCATGTATATTCTACATAGTCTCCAGAGTAGGTCACAGATTTCAAACCATTAAATAAAACTTCAGGGACGGCAACTTTGTTTACACGCACAAGCATCATACACAAGAATAAACAGCCTTTATTTTAAGCTTGCCTGATACTTATATACTGACAAGAAACTTCATTCTAAGAGAAATCACTGAGTTGCCTCTTCTAATTTCATCTGTCAGCCTTGTGCTATTTTTATCATATGTATATACAGGAGAGTAAGCCTTCTCCCTTATGATTCATGCTGCGGGGAGCCAAAGCAGTGTTTCATTTGCAAAGTTAAGATTTCATAGGAAGAACTCCCAAGAGCAAATCTGACTTTTAGAAGACATAGTAACAAGACATCCTTCAAAACAACCTGCCTCTTGTCCAATTTATATATTTCATTTTCGACAAAACAATGTCACTGTGCTTGGTATGTCACAAAAAAATAAAAGAAAGTGATTCCAATGATATTTCTTGATGTGTTTTGATATCTAGCAAAACATAACTCTCGACTTACTGGCTTTGAAACGGATAACAAAATGCAATTTTTAGAAAACCCTTTCTTTTATTTTTTTGAGCCAGGTTTTCTAATTAATTTCTAGTTCTATGATGTAGAGCTGTGGGCTTGTTTCACAAATGTACCAGGCGGCGAATATTATTTGCTTTCCTGGAAAAAAATACTTACAGAGCTCATAGGCAGTCAATGAGGAAGTCGATTGAATGATGAAACACGTCAGAGGGACATGACGTCGAAAGCATACAGAAGAACTGGGGCAGCAATTTTGGAATAGGTTGGATTAGGCTGTTTGTACCTCAGATTCATGTAAGCGCAATTTTTTACCATTAAATTGATCTTTCAAATACTGTATGTTTATATTTTCTATGATCACTGAAAGTATATGAAGAATCGGGGAGGAGATAATGGATTTCTGAGTATGTTGATTATTGATTACGGAAAGGCAATTTACAAGACATGCGGGTAAGGTGCATGCCTGAAGGGGAAGGGATCGAACACGTTGATTTCTTTTTGGACACTGGTGGTGGATGGAGCATGGTCACAAGTATATTTGAATGTCATTCACAGTAAAGAGAGTGAAATGTACGTTTTCACCCTATGAGGGTAAGAGTATTTAGTGGAATTAGTGGTGGACACTATTTGTATAACATTTCCAATTGTGCACGGGTATATATGTAGCACACTTTACATAAGAATTAACTCACTATATTAGTTTTTTTGCTTTGGAGATGGGGATCAGCTGATTGGAAGATCAAAGGAGAGAGTGATACCCCATGGTATACAACGCATTCTGGCTAAGGAGATTCTGGTGAGAAGATAGGAGGATTGGTCAAGGACAGTTGTGTGCTGTTTACATACAAAACATTAAAATATTGGTATTATTTATTTATTTATTTATTTATTTATCGAGTTTATATAGCGCCAAAGGGTTTGCTCAGCGCTGTACAATAGGGGGGGACAATACATGAAACAGAACAGTAACATCAAACAGTACACACAAGGGGTTAGAGGGCCCTACTCTTTCGAGCTTACAATCTAGGAGGGGGGGGGTAGAGGCACAGGAGGAAACGGCTGTGGGGGATGGAGTGGTAGGGAGGGAAGGGCAGCGGCTGTTAGGTGAGGGTGGGGTAGGCTTCCCTGAAGAGGTGGGTTTTCAGGGAGCGCCTGAAGGTGAGGAGGGACGGTGACAGTCTGATGGATTGGGGTAGTGAGTTCCAGGGATGGGGGAGGACCTGGAGAAGTCTTGCAGTCGTGCGTGGGAGGAGGAGACCAGGGAGCAAGATAGAAGAAGGTCCTGTGAAGAGCGAAGGGTACGGGTAGGGTGGTACTTGGGAATCAGATCGGTGAGGTAGTTAGGGGCAGTGTTGTGGATGGCCTTATAGGTCAGGGTGAGCAATTTGAATTTAATGCGTTGGGCAATGGGGAGCCAGTGGAGGGAGAGGCAGAGGGGGTGTGGCAGAGGTGGAGCGGCTGGTGAGGTGGATGAGTCTGGCCGCTGAGTTCAGGATGGTCTGAAGCGGGGAGAGCCTGCACTGGGGTAGGCCGGTGAGGAGGGAGTTGCAGTAGTCCAGGCGTGAGATAATCAGGGAGTGTACTAGTAGTTTAGTGGTGTCTGTGGTAAGGAAGGAACGTATCCTGGCGATGTTCCGGAGGTGGAGCCTGCATGTGTTTGTGAGGGATTTGATATGAGGTTGAAAGGAAAGGTTTGAGTCCCAGAGTGACGCCAAGGACCTTGGCTTGCTGGGCGGGATTGATGGTGGTGTTGTTAGTAGTGATGGAAAGGATGGGGGGGGGGGGCGCGGGCTGGGGGGAAGATGAGAAGCTCGGTTTTGGAGAGGTTGAGTTTGAGGAAATTGAGCGACATCCAGTCAGAGATGTCGTTTAGGAGGTGAGTGATGCGGGCGGAGAATGAGGGGGTGAGGTGAGGGGTGGATAGGTAGATTTGAGTATCATCAGCATAGAGGTGGTAATTGAAGCCGTGGGAGTGTATGAGTTTGCCAAGGGAGGAGGTGTAGATGGAGAAGAGAAGGGGTCCAAGGACAGAGCCCTGGGGGACCCCAACAGAGAGGGGGAGAGAAGGGGAGGTGGCACCATTGTAGGTGACACTGAAGGAGCGTTGGGATAGATAGGACGAGAACCAGGAGAGAGCGGTGTCTCTGATGCCAAGGGAATTCATAGGTGTGTCCTATATTAATTTTTTTGTTTGTAAAAAATAAAAACTCTATAAATAGTAAAAAAAAAAATAAACTTCCGCTCTTCATTTTGCTAGGTCAGAAATTTGGGTGATTTGTAGAATATCAATGACATGAATCATAGATGGCAAAATTCATTGAGCTTGGTTTACTAAATTCAGCAGTTATGAACATTCACATTGTTATGTGAACAGTCTCTGCTCGTTTAGTATGTCAAGCCTGATATCTTTTCCACTTAATGCATGTGAGAATCAGCTAAATGAATTTCATCTAGCTAGTTGGAATTCACTACCATTCTTGGATCCTACCTCTAAAATGACAAGCTACTGATGCTGGTATCGTTTTCCACTTAATGCATGTGAGAATCAGCTAAATGAATTTCATCTAGCTAGTTGGAATTCACTACCATTCTTGGATCCTACCTCTAAAATGACAAGCTACTGATGCTGGTATCTTTTTCCACTTAACACATTTGAGAATCAGCTAGATCAGAGTTTCTCAACCTTTTCAACAAAGACAAACCCTTGAAATAACTTTCCAGTCTCAGGAAACCCCTTCAAAAAAATGACTATATCTACAACTCATAATACATTAGCCTGATGGTCAGAGGTAAGAATGCTCCTTACACTTGTGGGCATTGGGAAGAATTACCCCCTTATAGATAGCTATAAGGATCAATGGTGTCAGTGGGAAGGTATCTAAAAGGCAGAAATCATTGTTCAAGGAACCCCTTACAACCTCCGGAGGAACCCTAGTTGAGAAACTCTAAGCTAGATGAATCTCCTTGTTCACTACCATTCCTGGAACCTACCTCTAAAATGACAAGCTACTGGTGCTAAGTGCCACTAATGCTTCTTTGTAGAATAAGCTAAATACAATAGTATTAAGGCATGATAATATTTAAATGGGGATCTGTGAATAAAATGACCATCGTGATAAGTTAGTACTTACAGTATATATCATACATGTCCTTTTTAATGGTGTCATCTATCCAGTCCAGATGAGCAGATGCACGGGTGAACACACTAGGTTTTTTATCCATTATACACCCTATAGGGCCAAAACTTGTAATTCCATGAACTTCCCAGATTGCGCTGTTGGTGGTTGAAGGGCAGACAAGCGGTCCACCTGAATCCCCCTGGTGTATGAAAAAAAGAATAATACATATCAAAACAATACTCAAAGCAAAAAATAAATACAGAATAAAGACAGAGATTATTAAGGTCTTTTTTTTTTACACTTGTGTTGCCTACTTAAGAACGATCAGCATTGGATTGCTTTTCATTGGGCATTAGACAGATTGACTACCAATCGACTTCTGTAAGACCAACCTGTTGTAAAATTTCTGAACTATTAGCATTGTTGGCTATAGCAGACAAAGCTGATCTGTGTATTCTGATGGTGGGGAAGTATCTCCTCCTTCAGAAAGTGTAATCAGTAAAAATAAAATTACAAAATCTGCATTACTGGTCAGTATTTTACACATGTATCCTGTGTAAATCACACCTCCCCTTGCATAGTAGGTTATAGTATTTGATTAATTGGCATTCTGGGTTCTAGAAGAGTTTTTTAAGCAAGTATACATCCATATATACATGTAAACATGCACAGTATATGGACCATATTCACATTTTTTGCCTAGGAACTTTCTGCCAATAAGATCTGGCATTCAAACATTAGTGTAATGTGCAAGACCTTAAATCAAACTCTGCAGACCTGAATAGTATTGTGAATCTAGAGTAGAACTTAAACAGACTTCTTATTTACTGACACGATCTGCAGACTTCAGCACTCACAACTTTGGGACATTTTGGTTTTTCCCAAAAAAATGAATAGTAACTGTTTTTATTTAAATCTACAGAAACACATCAGGCATAAGTAAGTACCCTGCAGAGTTTTCACTTACAGATTCAACAAAACATACAATTTGACAGCTGGATATAGAGCTTAGTGTTAGTGTTGGTACAGGTAAGAACAGTGTTGAGACAGAACACAGCTGTCATGTTCAAGGACAGCTTCCAGCAATCAAAGGTTTTCACACAGCGAAGACTGTAAATTGGGGACATTTTATGAATAACATCGCTTCATAGCATTCTTATTTAAAGCTGATCATTAGATTCAAAGATATAGGTTGCTCAAATGACAGATCTATCTTAACTTTGTCTGTAAAAGTCAAGTTTGGCTTCCACTTACGCCTGCATTCTATGTCTCACCGTTAGTCAATAAAGCCACCCATCACTGCACAGGACCAAGATTGGGAGGTAGGAGAGGGCAGGACCAATCTTGATTTTTCCAAAAATATAAGAGTTGTACATACAGAGCATTCAGAAAATATTCACACCCCCTTCACTGTAAGGCTGCAAAATTACAAAAGTGAAGGGGGTCTGAATAATTTCTAAATCCACTGCAATAAATGTAAAATATTAATGTTTATACCTACCATTCCAAGGTTTGCATATTTTCTGCTACCATCTTGGTTATATAAAATTGCTAAAGACTATGGGCAGCACAGTGGATAAATGGTTAGCACTTCTGCCTGGCAGTACTGGGTCATTTGTTCAAATCACAACCATGGCTCTCCCTGTGACTGCGTGGGTTTCCTCCGGGTACTCCCGGTTTCCTCCCAAACTCCAAAGACATGCTAGTAGATGAATTGGATCCTGTCTAAATTAGACCTGGTATGTGTATGTATGAATGTGAGTTAGGGACCTTAGATTGTATGCCCCTTGAAGGTTAGGGACTTATGTGAATGTACACTATATATGTAAAGCGCTGTGTAAATTGACGGCACTATATAAGTACCTGAAATAAATAAATAAAAATAATAACTTCAGCTACCCACATTTTTGGTCTACTGATCAATGTGACACACAGTTTTCCTGAAGGTAAGCTCTGTCTATGCATTCCTAAAGAAATGCTCAGTTGCGTTGCTCAGATTTGGAATAAATTTACCTACCGGTGTTTACTTGGGTTGGATGGCGTGATTGTTCATGCACTCCAACTAAGAAAACATGCTCTACCGCAAATTACCTGGAATACTGGGAAATGGTGCTCTGGCCCAAATGCTTTTGGAATGTAGCAATGATCCTCTAATATAATGAAGCCAGCTACTCTGTAACATCCATTGCTTCAATTCATTATTGGCTACTTGGCAGGACACAGAAGTAACAACTTAATGCTTTTCAGCCACACCATGCAGTCCAATCAGAATCAGCCTTTCTAAAATCAATTTCACAGCTATTCCCCTTTTTTCCACAGCTTGATAAATAACAAGAAAAACCCAATAGATTTTAAATATCTATGTCCCCCTAGTCTGAATGTTAAAGCATTTCTTGTTCCTAGATTCCTAAAAGTGATACGCTGAGCAAGGACGTGTATATGATATCTAGTTAAGATCATGGGTATGCAAAAATGTGATTGTGTCACAGACATTAAATGGACAGTTCATTTGACCAATAAACATTACACTTAACAAGACAAAAAATAAAAATAAAATATAAAAAGAATAAAAATAGAACAAAAAAAATCGGATAAGTGCTTTACATTTTATATACTGGACTTTAAAAAGATAATTGTCATCCAGTAATGTTCTGTTTCTTGAATATTGTTAAATATTCCTTCTGTATAAAACACTCACCTGACATACGGACTTAAGCTCATCAGGGAGAACATATCCAGCACAGATCATAGAGTCCTTTATTTGGAACCACCAAAACTCAGGAGTTTTGCAAATTTCATAGGCAATAACAGGTAGTACCACTTGATTTAATGCTTCAGCAGCTCTTGGAGCCAATGAATTTCCTGAGATGGATTGAACAGATTTTTGATTATGATACCATCTGAATTTATTGTAAATATGAAAAACACACTTTAAAACAAATGTATGGCATATTATTTTAAATTGATATTTGCCTTGTGCCATCTGTGGCCCAGCAAAGTATGGCCAACAGACTCAGACAGGAACAGGGAAGGACAACACTACTGTAAGTGCTAATCAAACTCTGTTTTATGCACAGTGTTCACAATGCACATGCTGACAGGAGTGCCGAGTGAGTAGAGTTGATGATTAATTACTGTTTTCTGCTCCTTCATTGTCCAAACAGCAGACTGTGGACAGGGAGGTGACATCACTGTATTCATTAAAGTTGAATGCAGCTCTGTATTTATTAATACATCATTCAATGTACATTATCTTGCTGAAAGTATTGGGATGCCTGCCTTTACACGCGCATGAACTTTACTGGCATCCCAGTCTTGGTCCGTAGGGTTCAATATTGAGTTGGCCCACCCTTTGCATCTATAACAGCTTCAACTCTTCTGGGAAGGCTGTCCACAAGGTTTAGGAGTTTGTCTATGGGAATGTTTGTCTATTCTTCCAGAAGCACATTTGTGAGGTGGATGTTGGATGAGAAGGCCTGGCTCGCAGTCTCCGCTCTAACTCATCCCAAAGGTGTTCTGTTGGGTTGAGGTTGGGACTCTGTGCAGACCAGTCAAGTTCCTCCACCTCAGACTCACTCATCCATGTCTACAGATCTTGCTTTGTGTTTTGGTATTCTGACGCCTTAAGAGTTCCCTTCACTGGCCCTAAGGGGCCAAGCCCCACACCATAATCCCCCCTCAACCAAACTTTACACTTGCACAATACAGTCAGGCAAGTACCGTTCTTCTGGCAGCCACCAAACCAAGATACATCTATCGGATTGCTAGATAGAGAAGCGTGATTCGTCACTCCAGAGAATACGTCTCCACAGCTCTAGAGTCCAGTGGGGGTGTAGCTGAAAATGATTGCTCTCGCTCTGGCATTCGCGATGATACCTCACATGTGTGGTGTGATCACTGTTTACATATGTGTGTGGGACTTACATAGTGGTCACATTTGCACGTGAGCACGGGGGACGAGGGCACTTTACATTTTTTTTGTTATGATTATTCTTTATTTTATTTAAAACTTTTTTTAGATTGTTATTTTTAATTAACTTTATTCCTATCACAAGGAATGAGCAATATCCCTTGTGATAGCATGGGCTGTGACAGGTCCTTTTAATGGAGAGATTAATGGAGAGTCTATTAGACCCCAGATCTCTCCTCTGGTCTCCAATGCAGCCGATCACACACAGATTGGTCTGATTGGTTGCTTTCCTGGTTGCTAACGGCCAGGTAAACAAAGAACCGACACCAGAACTGACAAAATCCTTGTTGCTTCTGGTTTCTGGGGTCACAGAGAGGGAGGAACAATGTCAGTTCCACTCTCTCTGTGTAGTGCAGCTATTGCCTCCATTCAGAGCGTCCCGGGCTTCCTGATCGGACAGTAGAGCATGGGAAAGGCAGCAGCGGGAGAGGGGGACCCCCTTCCTCTGCCTGCAGAAGTAATTGAGTGGCTTTTCAGCCACTCAATTCACTTCTGCTTAACAGAGCATCATCTGCTGTAAATGTTGATACAGGATTGTGCCTGGTAGTGATAACCACTTCACTCCCACTCATGTGACATCCACCTAGGTGAAGTGGTTAAGGCAAGCTGTTTAAGTGTCTAAAACTGACTTTGTATTAGTCTCTTGTAATTTATTGTACATCAGAGCTTAGACTTTCAGAGAGATAAGCAGCAGAAAGAGCCAATCACTTCTGCTGCAGGGCTCATGTCCTAATGATGAACTTGCTGATAGGAGGAGACAGCAGAGTGACTGATGAGCTCATCAGTCTGCTGCTTCTTCTTTCACTTCCCAGTTAGGGGCTTGGGGAGGGACAAGACCTGCAATACTTTTTTGCAACAGAGATAAACCAGGTCTCCCATCCAGCTAAACAGGAATGTGTATAGAGTAGAGCAGGGGTCTCTACAACCTCTAGGTGTTGAGGAACTGCAAGTCCCATGAGGCCTTGCAAGACTCTGACAGCCACAAGCAAGACTGCCAGAGTAGAGGCATGATGGGACTTGTAGTACTTCAGCAGCTGGAGGTCCATAGCTTGGAGACCCCTGGAGTAGAGCTATGTGAATGTTAGGACTGCATGGACTGAAGTACAAATCCTTGGCAAGTAAAACAACTCCTATATACTGTACAGTATGTATTTAATCTCTGTATTTAGCAGACAGTCAGTATCACCACCCTCACTGTGCTAGCTGGTGAAAGTGTGTGAATCATATAACTAAATGGACAAAATCACAAATACTTTAGCAGACCAGATTGTTCATATATATTTATTTGTGTATTTATCAATCTGTCTGAAGCCTGGCTTTAAAATATCAATGCAGTGGGCAGCAGGTGGCTAAGTGGTTAGCAGCTCTGTCTGGCAGCACTAGGGTCGTTGGTACGAATCCCAGCCATGGCACTACCTGCACGGGGTTTGCTTGTTCTGTGGTTTTCTCCCACACTCTAAAACCATGCTGGTAGGTTAATTGGCTCCTATCTAAAATTGACCCGAGTGTGTGAATGTGAGTTAGGGACCCTAGATTCTACGCTCCTTGAGGGTTAGGGACTGATGTGAATGTAAAATGTATGTAAAAGCGCCACGTAAACTGACAACACATTATAAGTATCTGTAATAATACAAGCTTTTGCAGATGTTATTTTTAGAACATACAAGATGGATACATAACTTGCCTGTTTCGTCTCCCCATCCAGTTGCATGGCATCGGTAATTTGCACCTAAGACCTGATCTTTTGGTGGAAGACAAGCAAAATCGATATAATCATTAGCTGCCACCTCACCATCCAGCCTCACCAAGGCAATATCATATTCCAGTGCAGGAATTTCAGGGTAGACAAAGCCTTCATGGCGGTAGATGCCAAGAATTTTGTAGCATTGCTCTGTGGGCTCCACCAGTGTTAAGTTGTGTTTCCCGAGACACATTTGCCAGCGATATAACTCATCTGCATAACTTGAAAGATAAAAGTCCAATGTAGTTACATCTACAAAGAGTTTGCTTAATTGCCTTACCCATGAACACAAACACCCATGCATGTGCGTACACACACCTACACACATTTGTAGACATATTTGTATAATAATAAATATAGAAATAATAAAAATAATTAAAGGGTATGTTCAGGAATTACTCATATTTACACCCAAACCTCCTTATTCCAGCATTATTTATTTATTTATTTTATTCTTTTTTCCTACAGTGAGAAACAGCCTCTATTACTCCTCATTATATCATCAACAGATTTGTAATTTGTTTGACGTAGGCACACCACCAGAATTATACAGTCAGGTCCATAAAATATTGGGACATTGACACAATTCTAACATTTTTGGCTCTATACACCACCACAATGGATTTGAAATGAAACAAACAAGATGTGCTTTAACTGCAGACTGTCAGCTTTAATTTGAGGGTATTTACATCCAAATCAGGTGAACGGTGTAGGAATTACAACAGTTTGCATATGTGCCTCCCACTTGTTAAGGGACCAAAAGTAATGGGACAGAATAATAATCATAAATCAAACTTTAACTTTTTAATACTTGGTTGCAAATCCTTTGCAGTCAATTACAGCCTGCAGTCTGGAACGCATAGACATCACCAGACGCTGGGTTTCATCCCTGGTGATGCTCTGCCAGGCCTTTACTGCAACTGTCTTCAGTTCCTGCTTGTTCTTGGGGCATTTTCCCTTCAGTTTTGTCTTCAGCAAGTGAAATGCATGCTCAATAGGATTCAGGTCAGGTGATTGACTTGGCCATTGCATAACATTCCACTTCTTTCCCTTAAAAAAACTCTTTGGTTGCTTTTGCAGTTGCTTTGGGTCATTGTCCATCTGCACTGTGAAGCGGCGTCCAATGTGTTGTGAAGCATTTGGCTGAATATGAGCAGATAAATTGCCCGAAACACTTCAGAATTCATCCTGCTGCTTTCAGCAGTCACATCATCAATAAATACAAGAGAAGCAGTTCCATTGGCAGCCATACATGCCCACGCCATGACACTACCACCACCATGCTTCACTGATGAGTGGTATGCTTAGGATCATGAGCAGTTCCTTTCCTTCTCCATACTCTTCTCTTCCCATCACTCTGGTGTATCTTTGTCTCATCTGTCCATAGGATGTTGTTCCAGAACTGTGAAGGCTTTTTTTACATGTCGTTTGGCAAACTCTAATCTGGCCTTCCTGTTTTTGAGGCTCACCAATGGTTTCCATCTTGTGGTGAACCCTCTGTATTCACTCTGGTGAAGTCTTCTCTTGATTTTTGACTTTGACACACATACACCTACCTCCTGGAGAGTGTTCTTGATCTGGCCAACTGTTGTGAAGGGTGGTTTCATCCTTCGGTCATCCACCACAGTTGTTTTCCATGGTCTTCAGTTGCTGAGCTCACCGGTGCGTTCCTTCTTTTTAAGAATGTTCCAAACAGTTGTTTTGGCCATGCCTAATGTTTTTGCTATCTCTCTGATGGGTTTGTTTTGTTTTTTCAGCCTAATGATGGCTTGCTTCACAGATTTTGACAGTTCTTTGGATCTCATCTTGAGAGTTGACAGCAACAGATTCCAAATGCAAATAGCACACTTGAAATGAACTCTGGACCTTTTATCTGCTCATTGTAATTGGGATAATGAGGGAATAAACACACCTGGCCATGGAACAGCTGAGAAGCCAATTGTCCCATTACTTTTGGTCCCTTAACAAGTGGGAGGCACATATGCAAACTATTGTAATTCCTACACCGTTCACCTGATTTGGATGTAAATAGCATCAAATTCAGTCTGCAGTTAAAGCACATCTTGTTTGTTTCATTTCAAATCCATTGTGGTGGTGTATAGAGCCAACAATGTTAGAATTGTGTCCATGTCCCAATATTTATGGACTGACTGTATCTCTCTATGCACTGTGTGCGGGCAAGCTTTTGGTATTCAAGGTAGCAGCATTATTTTGCATGGAAATAAACTGCTACTGTATATACTGTATTCAGAAGAGGGACCAAAAGGGGTGGTAGAAAGGTGGAATTCTGTAGTCCACCAGGCAGAGCTAATAACACTGATTGAGATTTCAGTGTAGCACTGTGTTTTCAGCAATTGGAAGTTAGGAAAATTTTGGATTTTCTGCATTTTGTAATGGTTAAAGCATGGAAAAATCCAGCTATCTGCCGTGTAGGGTCCTTTCCCACATGACCACCATTTCCATATCCTTTCCATGTCCTGTGCAAAATCTAGTGTAGCTGTGCATGGTAGCCAACCAGCTTCTAAGTTCAGCTTGTTCAATTAAGCTTTGACAAAAAAAAAAATGGAAGCTGATTGGTTTCTTTGAGGAGCTGCACCAGATTTTGCACTCTCCTTTTTCTAGCAAATCAACCCCATGGTGTATATGGTAATGGGTTTTCCTCCCTTTAGTCTGTATGGCTCAGTCGAGCCAGTTGATTATTTATATATATATATATATATATATATATATATATATATATATATACACACACACACATACAGTTTGTATGTGTATAAATGTATAACTAGTGGTTCAGTGGAAAGTTTTTAAGTAGCGTGCCTTCAGTATAAACAATGTCAAATCCATCAGGAAATTCAGAGATACAGGCAGCCGAAGTTATATGTCGTTCCTGACTTTAACTATTAAATAAAACACAGCTACACTTCTCTTGCCTCTAAAGTCTTCCTGTTGGTCTCCATTCCATCCTTAGAGTCTTCTGATTTATGGGACTGCTTTACATATTAAAGGCCTAGTGGGGATGCTTGAGAGATAGAAGGTGGAAGATCAAACTACTTCATTGCAGGAACAGTTGAAATTTGAATATGGTTTCAGCTAGCTATATACTGTACCTATATCTTTAGATCTACTGTTTGTTTTGGCATACACTTTCACTAAAGGCAACCTCTCATTATGCATTTTAAATAATATGCTCAGCTTGAAATGCTCAGGGTAACTTTGGAGGACTCTACAAGAAAAAGGTAAATTTTTTCAATGCGCTCATGGAGCTATTCCGTTATTCACAGACCTTAGTCTTTCACCTTCCATGGGCCTAAATTTTAGAGGATTTCTTTCCATATATGCATATAAAAACAAACAGGTATCTCTGACTGAGCTCCCCTAACAATCAATTTGTCTTTGCATGGTTGATTTTGGGAAAGAATAATTTCTTTATTAGTTTGGTATAGTTTTTCTTATTTCTTTACAAATGTATATATATTTCCCTACATAAGTTAATTTTTAAAATACCTGTATTGGCTGTGAGGAGAGGTTAGCCTAGATTCTGTAATATAACAGTTGTGATTCTACAGCTATATCAAAATCTTATATCAACTACTAAGAAGCAATCAGGGTGAGCAGAACTTGGATTGGGATTCTTCCCTTCCAAACATTCTTGTAGTCCCAAGACAAGCAAAAACTATTGTAATGCACAGAGAGGATTGGTTCCGCTATATTGATCCCAGCTTCTGTTCCCTTTATGGAGCAAGCAGCCAGGCACAGGGTATTTTCAGCCAGGTGCACGAACTATCACTCAGTCCCCAGGGGGGCAGATTGTCTTTTTTTGCCAAACTGAGATACAAATTGGCTAAATAATAGCTGCATTGGTATGAAAACTTAAAGCGGAGCACCTGAAGGAAAAAAAAAGTCACAGCTACAAAAACCTGCTGACTTTTAAAATACAGCCACTTACCTGTCCTCACCACCTCAGGTTTCACTGTGTATCTTCTGTGTGGGCATCCGGCTGTGGCTTTGCACTTGCCGGGTAGCAAGCGCAAGGAGTGCTGTGCTTTGTGAATGGCCTTGTAGTCTTCTGGGACCTGTCACATGTCCCAAAGACTACAGGGAGGGGGAAAAATTCTGCTTCCGATCGCCTAGGCAATCACAGCAGAAGTGGGAGCGGATACCTGTCAAATATGGCTCCCCAAAGGTGCCAATCCTTAATGGGAGCGGGGGATAAAGGTTTAAAGCGGAACTTCCCCTTTTGGGTGGAGCTGGCTTTCAAACTTGAATGTGGAGGTATTGGAAGTAATTAAAGTGGTTGTAAACCCCAAAAAATCTAAATTGAAATGACCAGTCTACACACAGCATGCAAAGCATTTGTTCGTATTGGCCAAGAAAGGAGCAGCCAGTCCTGAATTTCTCACTGCTTTCCTAGCAGCAAAAAAAGGACACATGAAAAAAAGTCACCACACCCCCTTTCCTGTGACTGACAGACTAATTAGAAGCCTCATGAATGAGCATGAGAGAGGGGGCATGTGTCCTGCAGCCATCCACACAGATCACTCCCGAAATAGCCTAGCTAGAGAATTACTCATCGGACCATGATGACACTATGTGCTTATCTCTACTAACAGAGGAGGGGGGGGAAGCATGCTTTCACAGGTCATCATTATCAACTAACGATGAAAGGGGGGGGGGGGGCAAATGGCCTCACACAGATTTAAAACCCCACAGCTGCCAGGGAGAAAGCCGAGCAAGTGGATCACAATTAACCCCTGAATGACTGGCCACTTTTACTGTGTAACTATAGGGTGTTTCTTGAAGTAGGGCACTACAGTAAAAGTGCCCAACCATTGATTAATTGTGATTGCTGCTCAGCTCACAGCAGATGTGGGTTAAATCTGTAGGTTGTTTGGCTCTGTTAGTTGATAATTTACCTGTGAAAGCATGTTTTCACCTCCTCCCCTCTCTTAGTAGACATAAGCACATAATGTCGGCAGGGTCCCACTGAGTAATTCCCAACAGTTGCTCAGCTCCCTCCTGCCTATGAAAGTCTGCAGTCTCTGGTGCCTCAACTGTTGCTCAGTGTTTATGGGGATAACTGTTGTCTCCTCAGGCTGGAGCTGACTCCTAATTAGTCTGTCAGTCACAGGAAAAGGGGTGTGGCGACACAAATTTTTTTTTGATGTGTCAGGTTTTTTCACTGTAGGAAAGCAGATAGAATAGCAGATGACTGGCTGCTCATTTTTTGGCCGGACTGGGGACAGATGACTTCTGCTGCTATGCTGTGTGACATAGACAGGTCATTTCAATCTTGATTTTTTGGATTTACAACCACTTTAAGTGAAGTATCACATACTTCTCTGTAAAAAAAAAAGGAAGCACACAGCTATAAGCACAGGGGCCTCCTCTAAGGCACAACTCCCACAGCAGGTCTGGAACAGTCCCTCCAATAAATAAGGGGGTATGGGCAACAGTCTTTCTTCTGAGAATTCTCTAAAGCCTACTCACTGTGATCCAGGAAATCTGAAGGTCTCTACTGAGCATCAGTTTGATTCTGGCTTGAAGTTTCCTAGGAAGATCCCCTAGGCGTATTGCCTTGTGTGTTCCTATGACTTTGGGAATGATCATTTGGCTCCTCAGTGAGCAAGAATCATCCAGAACGTCTTAGGCCTCTCCTAAGCTTTGGAAGGTTCAACAGTGCTTCCAGGCTGGGTCAGCCTCAGGCTGGTGAAAGACCCTGATACTATCTGCTTTCACTTTTATGTACTACTCTCAGCCCCAGCTGGCCATTTTTTTTCCAACCAGGGATTGTCTGAGACTGTATCCAGGGCCAGCCCAGACTCTGCCCTCACTTGCTCACTATGTTTCCAGAAAGCTCTAGAAAGACAGAGGGAGATAGGCTGCAGCTGCAAACTCAGAGTAGGCAAACACAATTATGTCTCCACTTCTAACAGCAGAGTTAAGAAACACTTCTAGTGCCTAAAGTAGGTTGGTGCTACACTATACTATTTGTTGTATTGGTGATACCTTACACAGAAATGGTCATGATGAGTTACATTTCCTCCCCTGACCCCCTAGAGATCAAGTCATAAATCCTGATAGGTATTTTATTAGTGTACTAAAACAAGCCACAAATAACTGCAGTTTTGAATAATATTCTCCCATGCAGTAGCTAATTGACAGCTTCTGTTAAAACTGAAAGACGATGTGATGAGACATGCATTAAGCGATTTATCTTTATGACATGTAAAGCAATTGCTAAGCTTTACAGGAAGGAGTAATATTAGAAACATAATCTAGCATGAAAAATGTTTGTGTCAAATGAAGGACAGCCTTACTTAATAAAACAGTGGGCTGCTGTGAGGACCCAGTTCTTGTGAATGAGAGTACCACCACATGTATGGAAGAAAATTGTTTCATTACGCGAACTTGGCCAAACCTGAAAATATGAGAAAATTGTGACAATAAAAATGAGTAACATACTATAGCATGCTAACTATGGTTTATATGCTGCATATTTGGCTCTTGAATTTATTTTAGAGCCTATGTTTATTTATTTATATTTTTCAATCAGCACAAAGAATAGTACTTACATTGACTAAAAAGTGTCACTTGTGCTGGTGGCTGCTCTGTTAGTTGAAACCTTCTGTCTCCTGAGCCCCCCATACCCCAACAGCAGTAATCTTTTGATGCTGCGGGGATTAATATCAATAATAATATGTCACAGGCAGGGGCGGACTGACAAATCATGGGGCCCCTGGGCATTAGGGGATTCATGGGAGCCCCTGTGTCCTTGCCCAAACTCAAAAACTATGAAAGGTACCAGGGGCATCTCATGGGGCCCCCTACTGACCCAGGGTATTGGGCAGTGTTCTGCCACGAGTTTCCAAATGGTCACAGGTACCTGTCAAGAGTGCCAAATATGCTCCCCCTTCCACCCCCCTCCTCCATTTATAGGAGCGGATCTATAGCTTCCATCAATTAAAATTAATGGAGGATGGGCAGAGAAATGAAAGGTCTGCCTCTTCTATATAGAGCACTTTTCATTGATCATTGATCGCAGCTATAGATTACCAGTTAGGAGTGGGGCATGGGGGAACAGAGAACAGAAACTAAGACAGCAGCCTTCGGCACAGTGGATTCTTCTGATTCAATGTACTGATTTTTTACAAAACAAATATTACCAAAACTTGGGCTTTAAAGCTTTTTTTTCCACTTTCACAAAAAAGGAGCAGATTTAGAGAAAAAATGTTCACTTTGCAAAATGAATGCTCACAAGCTTAGTAAAAAAGGTGAAGGCACACCGATCTCAATCATCCAACCATATGCAAGGAAAAATCCTGTTTCTGTCCCTTGCGCATTCAAACTTAACATGGTTTTATGTTAGTCCCAATGTTAAAGCATCTGTAAAGACTGGTCAAATAGAAAATGATTTCAGGAGACTTGTATCACATAAAAATACCATCATCAAAATAGTGTGCGCAATGTTTTTTCACAATTATTTGGGGGGGGGGGGGGTGGGGACTTTACAGCTACACTGTGCGTTGAATGACTTTCTGTTGTTCCCATTTTGACACTCATGCTTTCAACTCTACCATTTGTAGCTGATAACTAAAAAAATTACTTTCATGCACACTAGCATTTATTTAGGCTCAAAAACCGATGTGTTTTTAGTTGAGGTTTAGTAGCATTTGGTAGCGTAAGTATTTTATTAGCAATTTTACAGAACATGTAGTAAAAAAGCATTAAGAACATTTTAGTAGTGTTTTCTGATGAAAAAACTTTCCCAAAAACTCTACAAAAACTTTTTTTTTTCTGCTCCTAAACCCTGAACTTTGAAAAATGCTTCTAGCCTACAATAGTGTGCACGGACACATAGAAAAACACTAGCTTCTAGAGTAGAAAAAAAAAATGCTGATAGCCTCTAGGAGCTTAAAAAACGCTAGCGTGCATGGAGCGTAAAACTGGTGTATTGGCCAGGTTGAAATCTGATATCTAGCTGTGCCTGATGAATGAAAAGCTTTTACTTATTTAACCTCACATACACTTTAAGCAAGCATTTGTTTTGCTAAGTGAACATTCTCCTATACTAAATCCTTCTCAATGAGTAAAACATAAATAAAAAAAATAAATTAAATTAATGGGCAGCCCAAGGCCTCCTTCATATTAAAACCACAGCTAATTATTATACAGTATTTATATAGCGCCAAAAGGTTTGCTTAGCGCTGTACATTATAGTGGCGGACAGTACATGAGAGAATACAGTAACAAAACAATACACGAGGGGTTTGAGGGCCCTGCTCTTTTGAGCTTACAATCTAGGAGACAAAATCTCTGTATTTGAAACACAGTACACAGAGTCCAATCCTGTAGATGCACAACCTAAGGTAGTGGTCACTAAAAGGCGGACCGTGGTCCAGAACCGGACCAAGAGAGAGTCCCGTCTGGAGCGCAGCCACCCCACTGCCGGGTGCCCTCCCTCGGGCCCAGGCCTGGACTGGCCATAGAGCACACCGGGTATTTTCTGGGTTGCCAGGGCCACCGGGCTTAAGATGCCCTCCCTCGGGCCCAGGCCCGGAGTGGCCATTGAGCACACCGGGTAATTGCTGGGGTGCTAGGGCCACCGGGCTTAAGAGCGGGAGGTAACGGTCTGGACAGGGCTAAAACAGACCACGGCCGCCGCTCACCTCCCACTGTGTGGTGGCTATGCCTAAAGCAGGGCCAACAGGAGGAGGGGAAGTGATGGCTCCAGTTGACAAACAGGAAGCGTCACTGACACAGAGACACCTCCTTGGCCGGCCGCTGCACTGAAGGGACAGTGGCGGCCTTTCTTCTTCACCTGCCAGCACACTGTGACAGCTCTGTAGTGGAGGTGGATGGGGCTGTCTCTGCTGGACAGGCTGTCTCTTTGCTGAAAGGGATGTTTCTTTGCTGAAGGGGCTGTCTCTTTTCTGGAAGAGTTATCTCTTTGCTAGATGGCTGTCTCTTTGCTGGATGGGCTGTCTATTTGCTGAATGGGCTGTCTCTGTTGGATGGGCTGTTTCTTTGCTGGATGGGCTGTCTGCTGGACAGGCTTTTTCTTTGCTGGAGGAGCTGTCTCTTTGCTGGATGGGATGTCTCTTTGCTGCATGGGTTGTCTCTTTGCTGCATGATTTGTCTCTTTGCTGGACAGGCTGTCTCTTTGCTGGACGGTGATGTCTCTTTGCTGGACTGGGCTGTCTCTTTGCCCAGTTGGGTCCTGCAAAGAGACATCCCAATCCAGCAAAGAGACAGCCCAGGCCAAGAAGGGACATTCCCATCCAGAAAAGAGACATCCCTGTTCAGCAAAGAGACATCCCATCTTTGCTATATATTTGCTGTGTTGTTAGAGGCGCTGTGCTGTGTTAGGGGCATTGTGTTATGTTAAATTGTGCTGTGTATGTTCAGGGGTGCTGTATTGTGTTAAAGGTGCTGTGTTGCGTTGTGCTAGGGGTGCTGTGTTGTGTTAGAAGACACTGTGTTTTGTTAAGGTGTGCTGTGATGTAAAGGGGGGCAGTGATGTGATGGGAAAAGAGGACACTGTGGGACTTCTTTAAAGAGGGGACTGTGATGTAGAGGGGACAGTGTGAAAGGTACGCTAAAGATCATAATGTACTGGGAGACTGTGATGTGTTATATCAGTAACGAGATTCGGACCTCTGCTGGAAGGAAATTTTGCTGACCTGTGTAAATTTTAATTCAAGACTCTTGAGCTACGGCATCTTTGGTATTTCTTTGTTTCACTAGGCCTAACAGGGCTAAGGATAATATGACAGTTTGAACAATGAAGATGACCTCCGATGCTTATAATAGGAAATGTATTTGATAACTATAGAGCGAAAAGCTACCTTTTCTGCTTCTGCCATCTATAGGTACAAGCCAAAAGTGCCTAATGGTAAGTTCAGCCCTGGTATATCCAGAGAAGCTCATTGTTTACTTACACTTTGAGAATTTAAACTCTGTGTTGAATAAGGTAATATGTATCAGTATTCATCCCATGCTCTGAAAGTTTGGGTCAACACACACACCTAACACTTTCATACACTCTGATATTGTTATTTAGGAAATTTGGTTACAATTAGTATACCAATTTATAAAGAACATTGTTACATTTGTAAAGATATTTAAATCCGAACTCTGGATGCATGTAAAAGACACACATTCATGCAGATCTTGGATTTATTAATACTCCATGAACTGTATTATTTTATTGTAAGCAGTATAACGTTTACAATTTAACCTGGGATCAGCCTCTTGTAATGACCCATACAGCAGAGCTCAACGTGAGAGAGGGGAAAGCAGCACAATGAGCCAATCAGTTATGCTGCAGTGCTTGTGTGCTAATAAAATGCATACTGGTAGAAGAATCAAGCAGAATGATGAGATGAGCTCATCAGTCTGCTACTTCTCCTTTCACTGTCCAATCACAGGCTGGGGGAGGGACAGGACCGGGAAGTGTTGCTTAACTGAACTAGAAAAGTCAGGTCTCTGCGATAATAATGCTGTCTGGCTAAACTGTGTAAATCTCAGAACTGGATGAACAGACATTCAAATCCTGTGGCAGGTAAAACAACTCCCTTATGTGTCCATCTGTGTATTCAACTGTTTGCCTAGAGTTCAGCTTTAACAGATAAAGAACAGAAATATGAGAATAATATTTTGGTATAATACTTAAAGTGTTACTAAGCCCACAACAGTAAAATCAGTTTGTATGCTGGTTACACTCACTGCGGAACTTAAGGGATCAATCCTCTACATTGTTTAAAAATGCTGTTTGATCCTGACTTCTCTAATCCTCTCTTTCTTCCAGTGTCCCCTTCTTCTCTCCTGATAGGACATCTGGAGACACTCTGCACCAGGGGTCTGATCATTTAGAAACTCGGGCACTGCCCGAGGGCCCGGGGTCAGTAGGGGGCCCCATGAGATGCCCCTGGTACCTTTTTCATAGGCTTTTTTGAGTTTGGGCAAGGACACAGGGGCCCCATGATCCCCTATTGCCCGGGGCTCCATGAGTTGTCAGTCCGCCCCTGCTCTGCACATGCCCAGTTTAGTGTGTATTGCTAGAGAGGTTTTTTTTTTCTTGGGAGAGTACATGTGATCAGCACAGGGCCAATCAGCATTGTCTAGACAGAGGTCAGGGATTTTGCATCCTCCTAGAGCAGAAAAAAAACTCATCCTACAAGCTTTAACATGTGCTCTGCAGAACACTGATAAAAGCCACAAGACTTCTCTATTTAGCTGTTTATATTTATTAAGATAAATGCATTTGCATGTTCTGTGTACTGTGGGAGACCAGAGAGAGTGAATGCAGGGTCCTGGGTTTAGTAACACTTTACCAATGAATAGTAAAGCCTGACATAAAAATGCTGTAATATTCGGAACTCTGATATATATGCTTGACCTTGTCGCATGTTTGAAAGTATCTCTTCATGAAGTGGCATAAAGTAATTACACTTAGTAATGTCGAATCCACTTAGTGCTGGTCATTAAAAATGATTTTTCTCCAGTGCACTAACATTTCTCTGCATGTTAATGCTAAGCCTTCCCTGGAGATAGGCAGTTAATAAGAGTTAATATGAGTTATGTCACAGCCAAGCACTTGTGTACTTTCCATTTTAGAATTATGATTAACCTCTTACCTGCATGGACACTTGCCAAGGCCAGGTGTGAGGAGCAGCAGGTTCTCCATTGACTATTCTGGTGTTGATCTGGGGGGGAAATGTGGGCTGTCCACACTTGGATGGCCATTCTGCAAACAAAAGAAAAATAAAAGAAATTACATGAAAACAACTACAGTACATAAAGTAATATGTAACGAGGTATACGTCTAATACTGCATAGTAGATTGAAGTAAAGATTAAAGATGGCCTTTCTGGGACAACATTAGTCATAAATCACAACATGTTGGGGGTACAGGGCTATAAAGAGATAAAAATGTGTGAAACTTCAATTAGACTATCACCTAGAATACAGAAGAAATAGTTATATGAATTGATGTGTTGGACTTGTTATGTCTTCTTTTGACAACCATCATTATCTCAAGTAAAGACAGCAGGAATTGGTGGAAATTACCTAAGCCACCTCTGGCATCCTGAAATGACCTGCTGTTATAGTTTGTACCATATTATATACTGTCCAGTGAAATGTGCAAAAAAAGTCTTTATACTGGATGAAAATATCCTGGCAGTTCATCAATTGTAATCTCTTTTTGAACTATCTCTTTGTGATTTTGAACAATCGCTTGAAATCCCGTGCTCTGAACTCTCCTTTGGGTCCCACATCCAATCACTGTCCAAATCTTGCTGCCTGAACCTCTGTAACATCTCCAAAATATGCCCCTTATTAACCAACACCACACAGCTACTAATTAACTCCCTGACTATCTTTTACCTTGACCTTGGCATCTCTTTCTCCTATTCATCCACCTTACCAACCGTTCAATGTTTGCAACCCCTCTCTGCAAATCTTTCCATTGGCATCTGCTCACCCAAAAAGTAAAGAATCAAAATATCAACAGCTTATAAAGCCATCCACAACTCTGCCCCCAGCTATATCACCAACCTGGTCTCAAAATACCAACCAAATCATTCTCTTCCTTCCTTCCAAGACCTCCTGTTCTCTAGCTCCCTTGTAATATACTCCCATGCTCACCTCCAGGACTTCTTCAGAGCCTCCCTACTCTTCCTTACCCCAACTATCTCCAACTCTTCAAAGATGCCTATCCTGTATCTATCGAATAAACTGTATTATTACATTCTCTATCAGCTCTATTTACTTTGTATCACTTGACCTTCCTTTTTAGATTGTAAGCTCTAACGAGCAGGATCGCTCTAGTATTGAATTGTATGGTACCTGTACTGTCTGCCTCCATTTTATAAAATACTGTGCAAACTGCTAATGTTACAATATATAAACCCTGTATAATAATACTACTTCACATCACAGTTTTGCAACGGTAAATAAATTAGTAGACATTACCAATTGGTATACTGTCCCAAGGATTGGGTGCCTCTGGTGCATCTGTGGGAGGTGCTTGCAGTGGATCGGTAGTCCAGTAACCTCGGAATCCTTTTCCTTCTGTAAAGAGGTCACTGAGGAATCTGATTGTGATGATATTGTTCTGACTAGTAATGGTGTTTGGGATTGTAATTCCACAGAAAGGACCTAAAAACACCAAAAAGCAAACATTCAAATATTTCTCTTTACTGAACATTTTCTGTCAGATGAGGCAATATGCTAGTTATTACTGAAATGAAATAAACTGGCAATCTTACTGAAATAGCTCAGTAAACGTTCATGACAGGACACATCCTGAGCCTGAATAAGAAAAGCCTATGGGTGGTTCAGTCAAAAAACATACGCATTAACTTGAAATCATTTTAATGTAGTGTTCAGTGTAAGTATGCCTCAAATATTACTTTGAGCTACTGTAAATCAATACATTTGAAAAGTGTAAGTCTGCTATATAAAATATTTTAGACATCAAAAAGAGTAAAGAAGTTAATTTTCAATGCCTGATACAGTTCAAAACAAAAGGTGCTACAACCAGGTCAGACGATTCTCAGGCTAAGACTTTAATATCACTGTGCCAGACCAGCAGTCTCTATCTGCTCATGTATAGACTTATTAACATAAATATGCCAGGTGATAAATAAATACAAAATACCCCTACCTTATTACAAACATAATAAATTCCAATTAAAGTCCAAAATATAAAAATTATAAGAATATCCAATGTCCCTCTTATAAAATATGATTATGATTACGTCCAATGACAAAACGCGTCAAAGGGAAGTGGCGTCAGACGCACACGAGGAACCGGAAGTGGAGAGGCGACCATCTTGGATAGGGGAGAAAAGCTGATACAAGCAACTCGGACTCTCCTGGATGGCAGAAAGGTTTCAATATATTTTATATGCGGTTTAAAGATTTTTACAATGTAAGCAGTACTATTAAAATTTCAGATTTTAGTGTGTGGCAGTATTACACTATTTTTATTCCTTATATATGGGTATCTGGATGGTGTATACAGTGGAAATATATCTGAAGTGCTAGTGTGGATGGACCTATATGGTGCTATATGGTGGTATATGAAATCAGGATAAACCTTGTGGATCTCTGCAGGAAGACTTATTTCATCGTGTAGTTTTGGGATTTGTATTAAGGCGAAATTTATTTGGACATTGGTAAGGGTACCCACTCCTTACTTTATTAGAAGTGTACACTGTGTTGTGTGATTTGGAGCACAGAAGAGTGATTCACATACACGGTTTTTCACTGCATATTATATATATATATAGTTATATATATATTTTTTTTCCCTCTTTCTCTTCTTCATCTGGGTGAATATCACTAGAGTGACTTCACATGTTATTTTCATTAAGGATAATGCACTATATATGTTTTGTGTTTTTGCTTTTGAGGTAATCAAGTTTGTGCAAGCGGCTGAGAGTTTTACACTTGGACTGAATTTTGGATACACCTATTTATTTTATAGGAGGGACATTGGATATTCTTATAATTTTTATATTTTGGACTTTAATTGGAATTTATTATGTTTGTAATCTAAGGTAGGGGGATTTTGTATTTATTTATCACCTGGCATATTTATGTTAATATTTGTGCACCTCTAAGGGTAGAGGTGAAGTGTGCTTGAAAGAAATTGGGTAGTAGTAGTGATTTAATTTATCATGTATAGACTTCCAGAATACGAAATGTCAGCAACAAGGTAAAAGTGAAAAATTCTTCTTTATTATTTTCAAGAAGATATTTCATAGAGCAACCAATGCTAATGCGTTTAAGTCAAGAAAAGGCCTTACACATAGCCTGGTTACATAAAAACTGACACAACAAATATATTTGGGTGCTTATCAGTCCAACAGTTCCCCCCACCCCAGTGATTAGCTAGAATAAACACACCTGTTAGACATCTCTACAGAGGTAGAGGTGGACTGTGAGTCGCCATAATTAAAACACAAAGCAAAAACTAACATCAATAACTGCCCACAAAAATAAGAATAAAAACATTTTAGTTAAGAGAACAGGGGAGGCAAATGTTGGTAAAATAACAAAGACAGCCACAGAAAAAAGAGTTCCCACCTGAAGTTTAACCCTCGGGGTACCCGCATCTATAGCTTAAGTATCCACCATACCACCCTCTGTAATAACCTATGATATCCATCACCTCTTGCAAGCGCATGAACTTTTTCAGTGCCACAAAAATGAAAAAGTGTAGTATCCCCCCATGTACATCTCTAATATGTCATGAGACATTCGACATCTGCTTTGCTTGTAAATGTACAGAGTTGCAAAAGTGTTCTCCAATGCAGGTTCTAAGACAACAAATCATGAATCCCACATACTGCACACCGGGATGCTAACAATTTGCCCTCTTTGAAGCTCAGTAAGCTCTGACATGACACTGTATTACTAGCAGTGAATCACAAAAGTGAGGCCTGTTAACTAGGTGTCTCATCACACAGTGCAAGCAAAAAAATGTTACATCACTTGATGGAGAGTGTGATGAGGCTGAAGCATTATGGATGGAACTGCACATGGGGGTGCGTACTACAAAGGTAATCATTGGAGTTTTGTATAGGCCTCCCAGTGTTAATGAAGAGGTGGAGACTCAGCTCTTTGCACAGATTGAAAGAGCTGAAAAGGCTGGGACATTGATAATAATGGGGGATTTTTAACTACCCGGAAATTGACTGGAGTAATGGTACTGCAGGAACAGCTAAAGGGCAACATTTTTAAGCCTACTACAGGACAATTTTATGGTACAGTTCATATTTACAAATATATGTAAAAATATATGTTAAAATTACTTTTTTATATGTTAAAAATGTTTAAGAATATATTTAAAAAATATATATTTGTAAAAATATATATATTTTTTATATATATTCTTTACATTTTTTTAATATAAAAAGTCATTTCCAAAAATGTAGATTTGTATTTTTACAGACATACAGTATATTTGAAATGTTTAAAAATATTTTTCATATATTTTGTGATAAAAATGCATTTCAACATGCAGTATATATATATATATATATATATATGTTGAAATATATTTTGAAATATATTGAATATAGCCAAAATTGTAGCATTTGCAATATATGTCAATATATTTGGGAAAAATACTTTTAAAATATATTTCAAATATATGTTTCTTCCATGTGGGTAAAACCATTCATTTATTGTATCCATCCCAGTGGAGCTTTTAACAAATCTTTATAATACTATTTGAGAATGAGTTTCCCATACCTATAATGATTACAAATATTTTACTATGTATTTGTAATTATCAGTTATTTTAGGTTGGAAAAAAGCGGAAGACAAACAATTCGTGCAGTGCTCACACAAAAAACCCTTTGTGCAAAAATGAACATAAAAGAAATAAATGACATGTATAATAATAAGACCCTGTTCACCAAGTCACACCCTTATTTCCGCTATGGAATCATTCAAATTGGTAAGTCTTGAGTCACAGCAACTTTGAAAAAGGTTCCTGTACTATTTGTGTGTGATTTCATGTGCGGCTTGCATTGACATCTGCGTATGAAGTCACACAGATGTTGGCAAGACGCACATGAAGTTGCACTGATCAGCAGCTTTGAAATCACACTGAAGTAGCATGACTTCAAAGCTGCACCCAATGTGAACAGGGGATAAAACAAGACAATCACTCTATATTGCCAGCTGCATGTTGTATCTGAGCTGTGTTGCTACAAAGTTGCTAATGCAGTGTAAGATTGTGTGTGCCTAACGACAGGTTCAGTAGGATCAGGGAAAGGAA